TCGCCTGGCAGGGGCACGTCGCCCGTGCAAGCCGGCGTGTAAACTTCATGGGACTCAGCAACTCTTAACGATGCATGGTATGATGCTGACGAACGATGATGGGACTCGTCGATTAAGAGGCGATCAATGAGGGGCAACATTGAAACTTCGTGAGTTACGATTTAGGCTATATGCTACGACGAAACGAAACTTGCACGGATGGGGGGGGGACCCCCCAGTGCAAACGAAATGCACAAACGAAGCAATTCAATGAACCGATCTATTCTTGAATATCGAATAGCCGGGGGAACGGTGAATAGTTGTACGTAAACCCATACGTGAATAGGGAGAGAGAGAGGGGTGGGGGTAAGGGAGGAATCCATCATATTGGCATGGGTCCAATCTCCATGCCATTCCTTCCAACAGTCTACAGTTCGTTACACACGCCGGATTGTAACCCAATCGCTCGCGTTCCGTGCGCCGCCCTCGCGATGTGGAACGCCAACAGACCCCGGCGCGTTCCGTCAATCCACTGCTTTGCTGAAGGCGATCATTTTTTTGTGGTTTTTTTTGGTCTTTTTTCTCTCCACGCCGTGCTTCTCTGCTTGCTTTGCATTTTGTCGCGGGGACATACTTCACCGCGCTCGTCGGTCCTGGCTGGCCGCAGTTTGGGCAGCAGCAGCAGCAGCAGCGGTTTTTAGATGTTCACTCATTCGGGGTGTCGGGGTTCATTTAGCGCAGTGCGCTTAACCACTGTGCCACCGCTCCCTCTGGGGTTTGGCAGCCAGCACATTTAGCAGTCGCATTGCCCTAAACCGAAAACAAATACACGCGACGTTCCAGACACGCATATCCTTTATTATTTTTTTAACTTGTTTTTATATATATATTTTTGCCAATTTCCACAAAGTTCCAACACAAATGGTAAAACGTCTCCAACAAAGCCAAGATCGCCAGCCCCTTCTTCTTCTTCTTCTATAACTTTGCTGCTTGCTCGCATTTTGCAGCTCGACGCGGTCCAGTGCCTCGACACGAGGTCTGCGTGGGCGACGTTGCCCTGGCGGTCCTTTTAAATTTAGAAACACGTGGAAAAGTGTGTGGGGGTGGGGGCCGGGTATATGGGGGGTGGTGGTGGGGAGTCGTGGTGGGGAGTGGTGGTGGGGGGTTTTCATAGTTTCATAGTTCATAGTTTTCATTGATTTGGTATAGCCATTGTGAGCCATTCGGCTCTTGAATCGGGTGCAACCGCAACAAACAAAAAAAACAAAAACACGAACAAGAAAAACATCTTAAAGTGACTTCGTGCATGTGCAAACAGAAAATCCAGGAAAAAAATCAAAATATTCCTGAAATAGCACCGTGGGAAAGTTCATCCTCCCGTTCGTTCGTTCATCCATCCAGCGACGTTTAATAACGTCGCTAAGCTCGCAGTACATGCTTGGAATCGTGCGAGTTAGAATCGATTTATTTTCGTGTAACTTTATCATGACTGGTTACACGATTAACACGTAGGGCTTTCGCGACCGATATTATCCACAGTAGATGTTTTTGGGTTAGATCGCGTAAATATAAATGTGTCGTTAAACCCGCCACCACCCGACACAGCCAATTCCGGTGGTGGCGGGGTTTAACGGCATTTATATTTACGCGATCTAACCCAAAAACCTGTATTATGATTATTTGATCTCCAATTGCCACTAGAGGCCGCTACATTAAATTTGTATTATTTTTCTATCTGTGTGACTTTACCGAGAGACCCAAAGAGTACACGTTTTAAATTTCGATTTAAAGCTTTCGTGACTGCAAGGATTCATCTTCTTTGGTTCTTCACCTGATGAAGGCCGCTTGTGTTGTGGCCGAAACGTCGTGAGAATTTTATTGTGTTATTTTATTTTATAAATTTATTTTATTCTCATTCTACGTGACTTTACCGAAAGAACCAAAGAAGTACACGTTTTATTTTATATACAGCACAATGTGGTTGAGCGGGTTAGTTGCAAGTGTCAGCGCCACCGTGTGGAGCTCGCTCTCCAGGGCAGAGGCGAGAGCTATTCAAGCCGTACACATGGACTTACGAACCAGAATCTTAAGAGAGACAGGCGGTCCGACCTCCTTTCCTATTGACACCTGCGAGTTCAATTCCCCAGAATTGGTTTTAAACCAGTCCGATCGCTTGTGAGACACTGAATGTTTAAACCCGTCCTCGGGTTGTCTTGTATTGAACAAATCATGCTGACATCCACTCGCTGAAAGCCACGTAGCCGATGGGATTTGTAAACAATTATCATTTTTTTACGTGGAGGGACAGATATAGAAAGGCATATTACGTGTATTTTTAAAATCTTTCACATATTTCACAATGACGCGAAATGATTTTGATTTAAAGCTTTCTTGACTGCAGGGATTCATATTCTTGGTTCTTTCGGTAAAGTCACGTAGAAGGGAAACAATATTATTATTTTACGCTAATGATGTTTTTGTATTTTGATCTATGTGTAGATACCCCGCTGAATTATAACGACCTTCTTCTCAACAGGCGATTGTATGTTGTGAAATCAATTACTTAAAATCTTAGAGGAGAGTGTTGAATCATTTAATATGTATATTGAGACTTGTGGGAGACGTGTTGAAGCTTTGGCGTAACATATTTGTACGATACCGATTTGTATCCATATTATTTGAGTGGGACATCTATAAATGATCACCGTGTATTAGATGACTGTATGCACTGCACCACGTAGCTGCGCATGCGTGAACAGCAACTTAAGTTCCAAGTTTATTTTTCAAAACAGCTACAGTATTCTGAAAAACGATTTGAGTCAGAATAGTGCTGTTCTGGCATTGTCACTGCGAATAATCATTGACAGCCATTGTCTACTGCTGGGTGAAGGCTTCCCTAAGCCCTCAACATTCTACTGGACATCTGTGAAAGCGAGCTTCATAGCTCATCAGATTTCTCGAGTTGAAATAACGATTCCGGTCCCTCGTGATTTGCGATGCCAACATTTCAACAGACTCCTGCATATAAACGGATCTGAAATCGCTATACGTATATATCCGCGGTGGTTGTAATTTTGGGTGGGTTCCCTCCTTTGGCATCCTATCACGAGTCTCAGCCATCATCCCTCCTCACCATAACGTATCCTGCTAAAGCGCACTTTCCTTAGTACAGGAGTCACTCCGATGGTTCTTATTTGTATTTATTACCAGACCCATGCCTTAGTCTTTCTGTCTGTAAATCTAATTCAAAGAATGCATCTCTCCGTGCGTCTTTGTGCACTTTTCAGTCTGTGTTCCAATTCTTTGTCCGAATCCATGTTTCTCATTTACGTCAGAATAGGTAATAACATCCCCTGCAATATTTTGGGATTTTCTTCAAAATGTCAGTGCTAAATAGCACATGTATGCAGCAAATGCAATAGTTATATAAAGTAGACTTCATGCATCTACAATATCAGTCGAGTGCTCGCAAATATAATTTATTCAGCACTACGTTTTTAATATGCAAAGCATTTTCTTTTATCTGGAAAATAGTTCAATGACAGTTGTGGAATATAAATCCACATCAGATGCTGCTCCTCGCGTGTGGCTCAAGTGCACTTTCCAATCCAGCAGAAATAGCCTCCCCCAGTCAATCTGCGTCTCTGTTAGCTCTCTCTCGTTCGCACGGCGTATACTTCACACGTCTACGGGGGGAAGAAGTTTACTACTCGGCTTGACAGTAAATTCTGCTGCTATATGTCTAAACCTGCGGTGAAATGAATGGAATAAAACAAACAGCGAAGGGATGCAATGATTGAGTGGCAGTAACAGTGGCCGCTGTTGATGTTGGTTGCCCCCAAATTGACCCTGGAGTGAGCCCCACCACTGTTTGTTCACGGTACTGCCACTGATTGTGCTCAGACCACATCCTGCTGATGAGACTAGGCAAGTTGAAGCCGGTCCAGAGTTTTCTTAAATGCTGCTGGGGAAACCAGGCCCTAGAAGGTACATGGGCGGATGGAATTTTTATTAAAATGCTTAAATGAAGATAGAATTTTGTCTTATTGTATTACTTAGCTTTGGTGCCATCGTTGGCACCAGGAAGGCGACTATGAACAGTGGGGGCTCACACGCTTAACGATCATAATTCTTTCAGCGGTAGGTTTTCAGAAAGATATTTTATTTTCACTGTCAAATGGTTCTTTACTTTGTCAAATGATGTTGCAGCCTTCATGTGGTTGTCGAAGTTAAAAGTGAAAATGACGGACAGGGATACAACAGTACTGTACATCAATAATTAGCACTGTATTATCACACGAAAAATATGGAATACATACCTTCATGAATAAACAATCGCAAATGAACAATGACTCCATCAATGTTTTATCCCAATCTCCACGTCAGGTGACGACCTCGTGATAACAATCTTGCAATTTTCAAAGGGGGATTTTATATTTTTTGCCGATTTTCTTTTTTGTGCTGATTGTTGTGGTTACCCTCTTCCGTGTCCTTGCTTCGGTTCTCAAAATATACGGGGAGATGCAAACAACTTTAAATAAAGCAATGTTAGTTTAATTATTTAAAAAAAAGTCACACCAAGTTAATAGTGGTTAAATAATTAGTTTTCAAAGAATACTTTTAGAATTAAGCCTCCCGTCGCAAGGTTTTCTCGAGCGAGCAATCACAACCAAAAAACGCATTCGTCAGCAACACTACCACAAAATGAGAGCACTGCATATAATTAGCAACGTTTCGGGCAATGCCCCTTCTTTATAATAAATAGAGAGGTAAGAGAGATCTAATCACCCAACCTCTGGCCAGATTGTTGTGAAGGGCCATTGCCCAAAACGTCGCCTACCATATACTTAATATTTTTTAAGGCAGTGTTATTGACGAATGCACTGTCCAGCATTGTATTTTTGTGTTATCTGTGATTGTCCACCATTGGCAACACAACACTGTATCACCAATTCAGAATATGCGTTTACACTGGAAGGAATCCGATTAGCTATAAAGCTCTTTTTCCACAGATATCCAGTAATCAATCAAAAGCGCGTGTCTCCGCTTTATGGGTCAGGGTCGCACTTGCAAAAGTGTGGAATTCGTTTTTTTGTTGTTGTCGGTGCGTCGCTCAATCATTATACAGCTTCTCCATTTGCTAAGCGGAACAACAAAAAGAACCCATCCCGTGTCTCAACTCACCACGAAAACAGAAGTACAATCGTCAGCTCACGCCTCGAGAGAGAGAGAAAAAAACCACAACACCAAATTAAACAACGGGTCATTTGACAATCCCCAATCGTTGCTCTCCCAACTCCCACCCACTGATGTACACCCGTGAGCCAGGCCGTACGAATTCCACATTCACGTGGCGGGGGCCAAGTCCATCCAAACCCCCACGCAGCAGCAGCAGCAACAACAACAAAACAGTGGCATTACGTGGGCCCCTCCTCACATGACTGCCGCCTCTGGCACGGATAGCTCCTTCCTCTCTCTCCATCATCACCACCATCCTCCTCGCCGCCACCGCGACAAACAGCGGCGCTCATGAGCGGCAGGGACACCAGCGGGCCGACGATGAAGGCGGCGGATGACGTGGGCGACGAGGAGGTGGTGTTGGAGGGCGACGGAGAACGAGGAGGGGAATACGATCGACAGCGGCTGAGCGGAGGCCGGCAAAGCCCCGACCTTGCCTGGATGCGGCGGCCGGAGGCGGTGGGCGGCGGAGACGGCGGCGGAGGTGGCGGCGAGCCGCTCGAGGCCTCGCTCCCCCGGGATGTTCACACCGTGACGGGGGTGTCCAGACACCGCTCGCTCGCCGTGGTGCTCATCCTCTTCTACGTCAACCTGCTCAACTACATGGACCGCTTCACGGTGGCCGGTGCGAGGCAGTTGAGGGAGCGAGCGAGGGATCCCATCTCGCGGGGCCCTCACGACCGTCGTTTTGTCTGCCGGTGGAGGAGGAGGAGGCGGCGGTGGTGGTGGTGGGAGTCTTGCGGGTCGCTGTTTGTTGTTGTTTTTGTGGCGCCTCTAACCAAGATTCCCTCTCGTGTGTACTCGCGTGCCTCACGGGGTTTCTCGTGGCCAGGCTCTTTGGTGTTGCTGGACGGTGCTGGGTGTCCTGGATGTGCCCCGTGTTTATCCGCTGTTGCTCTCCCATCCCTCCTTGGCTGTCATGCTTGTACCGTGGTGTTCCTCGTCCGTCCCTGTGTGTGCCGCGTGTGTGTGTGTCCGTGTTTATGGTTGGTCTCCCAATGTCTCGCCACCCCATGCTCGGCGATGTTCCTCAACAAACCCCTGGGTGGCCTGGTTTTTCCTGGTATCCTTGTGCCCTTCGGCCTTCAACGATGACCCCTCCGTACCACGGTTGTTTCCCTGTGTCCACTTGTAACAACCCCTGTTGTAACACTCCCCCCTACCCACCCACCCAGCCCTGTGTTCCCCTCGGCGGCATGCCCTGGACACGAGCCGGTGGCTCTCCGTGTTCACCCCCCTCTGTGTCTCCCTGGTTGCCCTCTTGCCCTGTACCCCAGGTTGTTCAATTGGCGGTGCCCCCGTAGGGCCCCCCCTGTCCCCTTTGTGTCCACGTGTCTCGTTTTGTGCAGCGGGCACCCCCTTAAGTCCTCGGTGTCCCGGTGGTCCCTCGTCTATCCTTGCCTCCTCACCCTCCCAATCGTGCTGTCTGTGTGCATCACCTCGTGGTGCGGTGTTTTCTAACGGAGGAGGAGTTGGGCGTATCGTCCGTGTGAGAGGCCGCCACGCATTTGAATCCACAGTGGGGTTTGACAGCATCACGATGATGGTGGTGGGTGTTTTCCACTATTTGTGTGTCAGCAGGGGCCGCGTTGAAGCCCACCTAGTGCCTCCTTAGGTGACCCAAAATCTCAGCTTCTCTGCGGAAAGCTCGGCGTTCCGCAGTGGTTTCCTCCTGTTGAGGAATTTGGTCAAGTCCGTCCTTCATTCGCCAAGGCTTCACGTTACCGTTAACTCGCGAGTGACGAATTTGGAAGTAGAAAGTAATAAACACAGTTTTCACACTGGGTGAGGAGGCCCTTCCTCCAGCTATGGATTTAGAAAAAGATTGTGCATGTACTTTACACACGCTCTCTCGTATTTGCGTGTTTGGACGCATGTAGCCGGCTGTAGATATCTTAGGTTTGCTATTTAAAGTGATATTGAGGCAAAACGTAGAAATGTTTATGCAACCCACCAGACTCCGTAGAATCTGCATCCGTAGAATCCAAGACCCATCATTAACTTACAAATACGTAATATATTATGCCATTGCTTCAGTGATTGGGCCTTCTGATTTAAGAGGTGACACATGAACTCTGAAGAGGTTTTATATATAAACATTGGCCTTTTTGAACAAGGGCCATTGACTGTAACGTTAGCATAGTGCGTATATTTTGTTATATGGCAGGGGTAAATACAAATTCAGCGAGCGCATTGTCACGTATGTGCACTACTATCGACCCCAGGTCGCGAAACAGTTTGAATTTGACCGTTGACCCTGGTTGCATGTCAACCTTGTAGAACGTCACTTGGTGTAGGCAAATGTGGTGATCTGTGAAACCCTCCAGGGACCCGACCCATCCACCAACTCACAAGGACCAGCGTGGTGAAATGTTGTCAAACAACCCCCATGATTAATGCGTTATGGAGAGGCCCTCATCCAGCAGTCAATTTACAAAGGGCATTACCTAGCATTCAAACCATGAATGATCATGGCCAAAGCTGTCGATGCCACTAAATATTATAACTACTGTGTACTCTACATTATTGTACAATATATTTAGAAAAAAGAATGCTTCGTTTCATGTGTGTAAATTACCGTACCACTAGATTCTATGAACTAAGGTTTGTTTTGCAGGATACATTTAGCAGTGCTACTTTGCTTACATTTTGCTGGCACCATGGCGGGTTACTTAATTATTGACACCTGTGCCTGTTCCTTGGCAAATGTCAAATGTCAAGAGCGAGAACAATTTTCGCTGTTAATTTATGTGCAACCTCTTCAGCGGTTAACTATGATGTTCCTCTTAAAATGGCTTTACGTGGTTCAAACTCACGTGACTTGCCTCTGGATATGGGATGTTCATCAAGAGCATTGGCAATTACATTAATATTAAATGCCTACATTTGCAAAATGAAACGTTCCTTGATTTGTATTTGACTGTAGTACACTGCTTGTGGTGATGAGTCTGTGTGAATTGCACTCCCTGTGCACAGGAATCCTTGTGCAGATTCAAAATTACTTCTCCATCAACAACACCATGTCCGGATTACTCACTACAGGTGAGATCGGTGCACTGAATAATCTTATATGTTCAAACTCGCTTGTGGGAAAAAAATGCACGAAGTGGAATAATATGGGCATGTCCATACACGTGTTATTAATTTTTGGGGAAAAAAATCTAATAGCAGTATTTAACTGCGTGATTGAAATGTTGGCACCACATTCCATACATACATCCTTAATTGTATTCTTAGCTCTTTCGGTAAAGTCACGTTGAAGGGAAACAATAAAATAATGAAATATATATAAAACAATAAAAATTCTCACGACGTTTCGACCATAACACAAACGGTCGTCATCAGGTGTGTCGGTTTGCATTAATTTATTTATTTTTAAAACGGTGCATTTATTTATAAAAACCTCAGCGCCACGCGCAGCGATTTGACAATTTATTTAGAAGGACGAGTCCATCTATGTTCTGAAAAGAGGAGGGGGGAGACGAAAAAATTAATGTATGCTGTCTGAAAGCCACCGTAAGCGTGAACAATCAATTAAGACCTGAAATGGTGTATCAAATCCTTCCAATGATTGCTAAGCCAGAATCCATCTTCTCGGTTGAAATTGTCTCTGTGCTTGTATATGTGGATAGCCTCATGAACGAATCTCTCATGGTAGCCAGATGGCTTATAAAGAACCTCTGTATTGGAAAAGTCAATGTCATGTGAGCCTACTGAATTCTAACAATGATCTGCCACGGCCGAGGTGTTGGTCCTACCGTGTTTAAGGTCTGCTTTGTGTTCACGAATGCGGTCCGAGACATGGCGTTTAGTTTCTCCAATGTAACTACTACCACAGAGGCAACTTAGTTTGTAGACACCAGGGTACTGTATGTCCGCAATCACATCTTTTACAGACGGAACCAGATCATGGATTTTATGTAATGTGTTGAAACGGACCTGGATCTTGTGTTTGTTCAAGAGTTTGGAGATCTTTTTTGTGATCCCCGCAATGTAGGGTAAAGTGATGGTTTTGAAATGCTCCTCAAGAGGGTCCTTCTTCATGGTTTGAGTGATAGCTTTGCAGATAGTATAGTCGGAGTAACCATTAGCCTTAACAGCTTGGTGTACGTGCTTGAGTTCACTGCCTATGTGTTCCTGGTCGGATATGCATTGGGCTCTATGGTACAGAGTCTTGATGAGAAAATTCTTCTGTGATGGATGGTGGTGGGAATCCGGTTTCAGATAAGCATCCGTATGGGTAGCTTTCCTGTAGACAGAGTGGACATCTTAGCGTTTTTGAGGGTTGCAGCGACGTTGCTCTCAGGGGCCTGGGTCACATCGCTGCAGACGTAGCAAGATCTGAAATCGCTGCAACCCTCAAAAACGCTAAGATGCCAGCTAGCAACCTCAGCAAAGATGAGCGTTTTGAATAATATAAATTAAAAAAGAGGGATGACATTGTAGGGTTGCAGCGATTTCAGATCTTGTTACGTCTGCAGCGATGTGACCCAGGCCCCTGAGAGCAACGTCGCTGCAACCCTCAAAAACGCTAAGATGTCCACTCTGTCTACAGGAAAGCTACCCATACGGATGCTTATCTGAAACCGGATTCCCACCACCATCCATCACAGAAGAATTATCTCATCAAGACTCTGTACCATAGAGCCCAATGCATATCCGACCAGGAACACATAGGCAGTGAACTCAAGCACGTACACCAAGCGCTTAAGGCTAATGGTTACTCCGACTATACTATCCGCAAAGCTATCACTCAAACCATGAAAAAGGACCCTCTTGAGGAGCCTTTCAAAACCATCACTTTACCCTACATTGCGGGTATGACAAAAAAGATCTCCAAAATTTGAATAAACACAAGATCCAGGTCCGTTTCAACACATTACATAAAATCTGTGATCTGGTTCCGTCTATAAAAGATGTGATTCCGGACAAACAGTACCCTGGTGTCTACAAACTAAGTTGCCTCTGTGGTAGTAGTTACATTAGAGAAACCAAACAACATGTCTCGGACCGCATTCGTGAACACAAAGCAGATCTTAAACACGTTAGGACCAACACCTCGGCCGTGGCAGATCATTGTTAGAATTCAGTAGGCTCACATGACATTGACTTTTCCAAGACAGAGGTTCTTTGTAAGCCATCTGGCTACCATGAGAGATTCGTTCATGAGGCTATCCACATATACAAGCACATAGACAATTTCAACCGAGAAGATGGATTCTGGCTTAGCAATCATTGGAAGGATTTGATAAACCATTTCAGGTCTTAATTGATTGTTCACGCTAACGGTGGCTTTCAGACAGCATACATTAATTTTTTCGTCTCCCCCCTCCTCTTTTCAGAACATAGATGGACTCGTCCTTCTAAATAAACTGCCAAATCGCAGCGCGTGGCGCTGAGGTTTTTATAAGTAAATAAATAAACCGTTTACAAATAAATAAATAAATGCTAACCAGCACTTCTTTCAAATGTTTCTTGCTATTGGTTTTTCACACCTGATGACGACCGTCTGTGTTATGGTCGAAACGTCGTGAGAATTTTTATTGTTTTATATATATTTTATTATTTTATTGTTTCCCTTCAACGTGACTTTAACGAAAGAGCTAAGAATATGAATTACTGCAGTCACGAAAGCTTTAAATCAAAATTTAAATCCTTAAATGTGTTTCTACCAGCAACTCTTGAAGTTTTCTTCAACAACACACAACAAGATAGCTTACACCTGGGACTCAAATCTGGATCTGATGTGGTGTCGCCAATGCCATGGTGGGTCTGATGGAGGTTTATCGGGTTGAAACTCACGATAAAAATGTTCACAATTCCAAGGGTATTTACGTGTAATTTTTTTTTATCGACCTAGCTTAAACGAGTAAATATAATTAGTTAATGGATACCCTATATGTTAATGCAATGTGTGTAATGGCTCAACACGAGTCAGTAATATTGTTATACCTTTTTAAATAATGCACCAGCTGCAGTTTTGCATGTCATGTGGTTTCCCTTATACAGGTATTTCCTTTCACACAAAGGCGCAGTACTGTATAGTACTGCAATGGAGCTCGTCAAAGGTTAACATCAGACTCGTGCAATGCCATTGTCAACAACAGTTATCACAGTTTGGCTGAAGTTCATGATCGAGTAGATAAAGTGGTTGGTATGAGTGCCAAATGACATGTATCATTGTTAATATTGTATTGGACACTTTGGTGTAGCAAATGTTTTGGCGCAGTCACATCCCACTTTTTACTCGTGTGCAGTGTTCATCTGCAGCTACATGTTGCTGGCACCCATCTTCGGTTATTTGGGCGATCGTTTCAACCGGAAGATGATCATGTCGGTAGGGATCGCGGTGTGGTCTGTCACCACGCTGGGAAGCTCCTTCATTCCAAAGGAGGTGAGCACTCTAGCAGCAAGATGGCCCCCCACACATCACCAATGGACATGGCTTGCAAGATATTACCCCCAGGGTAATCGGGAGGGGGAGTGGAGCGGGTGGCTCAGAAAAAAAAACTAGAGCTCAGATAATGTAACAACATTCATGCATTCACTCATTATACATTAATATGACGCACACATTTAACTTAAAAAGGACATTCAGAAGGCATGGGAGAAGAAATTTGAGAGATGAAGGTCCTCAGATTCTGACAAAAGGATGACACCCAGCGCCAATGAGCGCAGTGAGAGGGAGTGGATTCCAGACGACTGGAGTCGCGACAGAGAACCGCCGTTCACTTTGTCCTGTTCGAGCGACGGGCTCTTTGATGAGGCCACTTGAGGCAGATTGAAGGTTGCGAGGTGGAACGTACGATAAGACGGCGTAAGCTAAAGAGGTCGGTTGCTTTTGTAATGCACCCATAACGTAACAAAAGTCTCGGTGAGAAAACCCATACGTACAAGGTGGAAAACTAAACTCGGCGAAAAGCTGGGCAATAAACGTTACCGACCTTCGTCACAGTAGTCACGGTTGACAGTTTGTGAATGCCAGCTTGTCAGAACATTCATGTTTATATGTATTAATTTTTACACGTGCAGCTGCACGAGTATAAATTTAGCAGTGGTTTGTCAGTGAAATAATGTTATTCATTAAAAAATATAAATGTTAAATGTAGGATTGATGCAAATAATATGCCACAGCTCCTATCTTAACAAGCATCACGATTGTCTGACTGCAGTGTATTTGTGCATTCCAGTTGTGTAGCCTGTGTTCATTGTTGTGTGCGTTTGTTCCTAAAGAACTTCTGGGCATTCCTCCTGATGCGGGGACTGGTGGGCATAGGCGAGGCGAGCTACTCCACCATCGCTCCTACAGTCATTGCCGACCTCTACACGCGTGACAAGCGTACCCGCATGCTCTCCATCTTTTACTTCGCAATCCCCGTGGGCAGGCAAGATTAATCCCCTCCCTTGTCCTGTTCACAGCTTCTTCCTACTCGTGATGCATGCCAACATTGTCTCTCTCCCAATCTGTCTTTCTCCAAAATACTTTTTTTTTTATCCTCCAGCTATTATTTTTCACCAAAATTAAGTGTCATCGATATTATCATCAATTCAGTCGACACGCTGGAGGTGAAGGCCTCTCGAAGCAAGTCACCATTGCAGAGTCCTGTGACGCATACATTCATCTAGCATCTGCACAGGGAGGGGATTTTGCCGCTGCATCTCAGTGGTGGAAGTTTTTTCGGGCGCGTACCCTCCTTTGGCCGTGATTCCATCATTAGTCTTTTAGGTCACGTTTGAATTTTGAGAGACACATTTTTGTCCTTAAGCTTCTTTGGCAGAAAGCTCCAGGCATTGGGTCCAGTGACAGAGAAAGCGCAATTAAGTAAAAGCCTTTGCCTTATGGAATTGTATAACTTTGCTGTTATGAAATTATAATCAAGGGCCATTTTCTTTTTCAGCGGACTGGGCTATATTCTCGGTGCAAACTTGGCACAATTGACTGGCAATTGGCAGTGGGGACTGAGGGTGAGTCTTTTTCATCGTTTCCATAAAATGCGGTATTGTTTAAAATAGCGCCACGCTTGCAAACACAGTTACACTTTGTCCTATACACACACTTGGATGAACAACATTGTCCGTGTACAACAAAAAAAACATTCAAAGACTAATTATTTGAGCATACTGTGTTGGCAGTGGTGCAAAAACACAAAAAACTGTACACATGCGTCAATAACACTGCCTTAAAAAGGAACAATATGAAATAAGTGACGTTTTGGGCAATGGTTCTTCTTCTTAGGACAAATAGAGAGGCTAATAGTTGAAAACTATTGAACACCTTGGGGGACTTTACTTTTCACTGTTTAAAAGGCAAGCTGGGAAAGCAGTATGTGGGAAAACTTTTCCCCCTGTGCAATGATACACTGTGTAACAAAAACATATTTTATATATTTTAATATTTTTTTGTTGCTGGGTAGAAAGTGTTATTTTTTAATTGCTTATGCCTCAAAAGTACAGAAAATCGCTATCATTCCCCACGAATTTTGCTTTTATGACCAGGACAGTGACATTTAGAAATTTACCTATTTTCAATGAGAAAACGTGGTGTGCATTTGTGTCATTCCTTCACACAAAGTCCTGGTCACAAAAGCAAAGTTTGCAGAGAATAATAGCCATTTTCTATACTTTTGAGGCTTAACTAATTAGAAAATAACACTTACTACTCAGGAACAAAAATCCTGTTACATAGTGTTATTATAGAGAGAAATCTGGTAACAGTTGCTTAAAATAGTGTAATCATTCACTGGTTTTGAAATTTCTTAAATATAAATCCTCTACTTGTTATACGAGTAAAAATGGTTTGGAATATTGGATTTGTAAAAATATGTAATTAACAAAATATATCCCACTCAAGGCCAACATATATATATTGAAGTTTGTAAAAAAAATCATTAAAAACGTATGAATAAGTAGAACAAATATATTCCTACAAGGAGAATGAGTTCAATGGAAACCCAAATGGAAGTGAAAATATATCAGTATATCAAATAAGGCATGTTAAGATTAATCTCCTAACCATTCAATGAATTCACGATTCAGGGTTGCAATTTGTTCTCTCGTTTTTACCATTTGCCTAGTATTTTGTTTTATTTGTGCAGGTTTTGTATCGAAGCAAAAAAATGTAATGGCATGAATTAGCATAAATCATAAATCGGTTCTTGCACACAATTACATGCATGTAAAAGCACACGAAAACATCATCCTTCCACTGCAGCCTGTAGCCAGTTCAGTCAATGTAAACTCCTCTATGCCGTCTTAACCTCCCAGCTATCAATTTTCCTCCACCACTTTACAGTCCTCGCCTCCATCTTCCATGTCCTTAACATTTCAGTCCATCTCTTGGACAGGCACCCCACCTGATTTAGACAAGTCAACAACTCAGAGGTGCGGAGCCAAGCTCTCAGGGCTGCTCGAAAGCCTGATCAAACAGATTGACTTTCAAAAAACATCTAAAGGCCTGAATGCATATTATGTTGCGGATGTGCATAGGGATATAGAGAGTTCCACACCGAGGAGGCAACAGCAGAGGATCTTTTAGTAAATCGCTCTTCCCTGTATCAATTTTCATTCCATAATATGAATTTCCACATGTCCAGATGTGAATGCAGACCCTTTTATTTTTGTAGCATACCACTACTGTCACTGCTCATAGATAATTGTAAAGAATCAGTGCACAATTTGAAAAAGCGTTGAAGGCTAGCTGAGAAGAATGTGCATTCAGAAGTCAATTTCTGCTAGACGGTTACTGTAAGGCAAGTAATGGAGTATTGTTTGGAACGTGCAAAGGATCTGGCTTCAACTTTTATTGACATGTGAAAGGCTTACCATAATGTGATTCAACATGCAAGAGGAATTAGAGAATGGTATGCATTACATAATTCATAGCTGTGCTCACACAACAATGAAGATGTCAGGGGTTCAACTGTGTAAACTAAAAGGGAGTTCTCTATCGCCCCTGTTTTTCACAAGGGCTGAAATTTGGAATAGTGTAAGAAGAGAGTTTCATTTGTTAGGCAAGTGTTTACACAGCTCACTAAGCCCTCAGCCTGCCGCATGTGGCAGTGCATCATCACAGGCCTTGCCAGCCTGAAAATAGCAACTAGCCATGGAGGGCCAACCAGGTGGGAGGCCCGCCCATTGTCGGACAATTAAGCACGTGGCGAATACTGCACCCCAGTGAGCACCCCCCCACCCAGCCATCTCAGATGCTAGGGGGATGTGTAAACACGGTTATATTCAGCACTTAATTGGATATACCGCACTTCCTATGGTGGTACATCAATCAATCAAACTTTATTTCTATGGCACTATTCGTGCAAAAAAATGCAATGCAGTTTTTTACAGGCATGAACAATAAAAGTGAAATTGTAGGCAAAATTAAATCACGAAACTAATTTCTAGCAAAGGCATTATAAAAATAACACATTAAGAAAATCCTAATTAAAAGCAAGTTTTAGAAAGTACGTTTTTAGATTCATTTAAAAAGTGCTTCATGATTCTGAAGCCCCTGGCAGGCTATTCCACAGGCGAGGACCGTCTACACTAAAAGCTGCTTCTCCCTAGGGTTTAGTCGATGACCTTTGGGACGACTAAAAGACCAGTACCAGAGGATCTGAGGGATCTTGTCGGTTCATATCTTAAAAGGATGGAAGACGTGTATACAGGTGGCAAACTATACAACGACTTCAAAACCAATGGAATAATTTTTAAAATACATTATTTGACTGACTGGCAGCCAGTATAAGGATCGTAAAATGGGTGTGATGCAAGTGCTCTTTCTGGTTTTCGTGAGAACACATACCGCTGCATTCTGAATTAGTTGCAGTTTACTTACTAATTTCTTCGGAAGACCAGAAGAGCATTACAGTACGTCGTGCGGCAGGGGGGGACCCCCTGGTGGCAACCGTCCCCTCGCGGGCGTGAGTTGATTGCAGCAGCAGCCTGCAATGTTGCCCTGTGATTTCACAATTAAATGTGTGCAATTGATCACATTTGGACTATAACATTTGCCCTGCTGGGTGCTTGCCTGTCTGCCTGTGTGCCAGGTGACCCCAGTTCTCGGCGTGTTCGCGGTGCTGCTCATCTTTTTTGTGGTTCCCGAGCCCCCGAGGGGCGCCATCGAGCAGGAAACGGGCGTACATCTGTCAAGAACCAGCTGGCTCACCGACCTTAAGTGCCTGGCACGCAAGTAAGGGGGTGCGCCGCCTTTTCATGCATGCACTGCTTTGCCTTGCGCCTGTTTCTTATTCATCTGAAGGCACCAGAAGGCGGCAGCTTATGTTGGGATGTGAATAAGCGGCGGCAAATGGAGACTGGGTCCACCTGGATTTCCGCCTTTGTCTTGAGATTTCATTTTGCCAAGCCTGGTGTTCGTTCATACTCGTGAAGCCGTATAAAGTTACGATCATGTGTACAGTTTCGCCGATTCCACCAACGGTACATAAATTGCGTGGTTGTACAGTAGATTGTAAAATTGTTGTATATGTAACAGTATGCCCTGTTGCTTTCAACTTTCAGAACGTTTTAGAATTAACCAACATTTGGGTGCAGAAATATATTTTAAAATAATGAATGGCATTAGACTGATTAAAAGTAGTGGTTCCCAACTTTTTTTTAATCTGTGGACCACTGTCAACCCTAAACGAATATTTGTGGTCCACCACACTGGAAAAAATGTGTTTGTTTTCTGAGAAGAAAAAAAATTCTCATCTGCAACATTTCTACGGACCACTTTCCATGGCCTTGGGGCCCACCTGTGGAACATGGACCATAACAGGTAGAGAATTGCTGCATTATAGAAATATGCAACTCAAAAAGCTAATAGCTCTTATCTTGTAGATGAATAAGCAAGTGGTGTATTCCAGGCTGGTGCACATATGAATGCTGCTGAAGCGCTTTAGTGACATTGATGTATAAAATGTATGGCAGTAACATTGCAGCAGGGTAGCATTTGAGTGCTATGTGGTGTGGCTGACAACTTCAAATGTTTTATTTACGATCGTGAACACTATCATTCAGCCATGAACAGTCTTGGTAAATGTATCAACAGGAGCTCTGTTTTTATTTTTGGGTTGCATCTACCTTTAAGCCAGGGTTCTTCATCTGGGGGCCTGCAGGCCAGATGTGCTCTTGGACTAGTCCACAAAGAGACATGGCTCCCAGGACATCAATACAGATTAGTGGGCTAAAGCGAGCGAGATCAGAGAGACAAGAGGTATGCATTTAGTGATCACCTGTACCAGACATTGACAGAGGTCATGCGATATCAGTTTGTAAATGTGACGTGATGTCACGTGGCTTACCAGCACACACTAATTTTTTTGTGGCCTGCCGGAAAATATATTAAAAATCCCTGCTGTATACAATTTCGCGGTTCAGCTACAACAGGACCTAATGCAGGGATGTGGTCTTCCACGAAGCTCATTGTCCACCCTAAACCGCATCCACTGCAAACCATGACGGATGCAGATACCCGATGCACAAATGGAATATGAAAATTTTTCCAGTGTGCGACTGTGGTCATCCAGAACAGACCGTAACAACATATAACAATGCAATGCCCAATCCGCAACTAAAAAGGATACATCACAGGAATACTCCGCTGCTCCCGACGCAGTTATCTGGCTTGACCACCTGCATGTGAAATTGAAGTTGTTGCTCTGCATCTCCATCAACCATACGAAAGAAGCATCCCACAAATAATCTTTGCAAAGTGACCAATTGTATCGTTGCTTAAGGCAGCCAGAAACTCCACCTTCATTTCCGGTGTTCTGCGGATCCTCACCCAACCCCCTGTTTCGTTTCCACCACAGCCAGAGCTTACTGTGGTCGTCGCTGGGATTCACGAGCGTGTCGTTCGTGACGGGCGCGCTCGCCCTCTGGTCGCCCGAGTTCCTGTCCTTGGCCGAGGTGGTGCAGGGCCGGCTGAGGCCCTGCGTCACAGAGCCCTGTGAAGGATACAGCCAGTGAGGGACATGCGTGTGCACGCACACTCACACAGCAGCACAGTTCATCATGTTAGACTATTGATCTGGCGAGCTCCTTTAGAGTGCGCCTCCTAATTACACTCGCGACACCCCCGTAGAGTCACAGCTTGCCACGACAAAGTTGTTTCACCGAAACACTTTGCACCTTGCGTCATTGCAGCTGCGCTGTAGACTCGTTTAAACTGCCCCGTCTTTTGTCCGTCGCCCCACCCGCCCCACCTGCCCGCAGGGTCAGCCTGATTTTTGGAGTCCTGACGTGCGTGTCGGGCTTTATCGGTGTGGGAGTGGGCGCCGAGATCGCCCGTCGCTACAAGAAGTACAACGCGCGAGCCGACCCGCTCGTGTGTGCCTTCGGGCTGCTGAGCTCCGCCCCGTTTCTCTTCCTGTCGCTCGTCACGGCCGAAAGCAACACGACCGCCACATACGTACGCGCCACGCACTCCAGGGCACCACTTGGATTTTTCGCGGCCCCTTTATGTGACGAACAACAACAAAATTCACATCTGTCAATAAAACGCCGCCGATTCTGGTCTACTCGTTATTCCAAAGAGCAGACCTCGTTCGATGGGAGATGGAGATTTTTGCAGCCTGGAATTCCCTTCCTCTGTCCATTAGGGAATCAGTGTTACATTTTTTATCGCTTCTTTAAACTCGCCTGTTTTTTAGTGCAGGCTTTCTCCATAACTTAATCTACATGCAAACACTTTTAGGCCTTGTGTAAATTTCACTATAGAAAGCCACGTTTATTATTATCATCAGAGACGTTTTGCGCAATGGTCCTTTTGCATAGCATATGGTGCGCTTTAATTTAAAACAAGGGCCATTTACAATTACAGAGTTAGATTTCAATCTATTGCTGTGCTCCAATCTCCTGGCTGCCTCACAACCAAAGCCTATACATTTTTTTTTATATTTTAAAGGGACTGCTATTGACAAATGTCGCTTTTTCCATTCGTCAACCATGTGCATCACCAAATAGTTTTAGCTTACTAAGATTTGCAACTGCTGTATTATGAAACATGCTACTTGCTATTTTATTTTTTTCACCCAACACCCGGCTCCCTCCTGCAATCTATTTCAGTTTTTCATTTTCTGCGGGGAGACGCTGCTGTGCCTGAACTGGGCCATCGTGGCAGACATCCTGCTGGTGAGTCCTTCCCTCACACGTCGTCGGCGCCACGGATGTGCTGGTGAAAAAGTTTCAAGAGTTAATTTACACAGCCACAAATACATCAGAGGATTAAATTCACTATTGCTAATTTATTTATTCTTGTGAGATTGAGTGTTTCTAATGTGAGAAAAGTCATCGGTTTGCCGATCATTTCCAAATGTATGGTTTACGCCTGCTTGCGGGTAAATAAATAGTGCTCCATATTGAGTGTTGCTGATAGTAATTTAATTTATCCAATAGAGTCACCGAGTCTCGAGATTTTTTGTGGGAGGGCCCTAAAATAGAATGTCCAGTCAATTTCATTCATGAATCTTTTGCGTGCGGGAGGGAATCAAAGTATCGAAGAAACCCCACACACATGCAAGGGGATGACACGCAAAGGGGTCCGCACGCACAGATGGGTTCACGCACCATTTGACATCATGGAATCTCCAGGCCACCTCTCAACCCGAGACTACAAAACCTGGCATTCAGCACCAGTCTACCAATCTAGGTATTAACCAGATTAAATCCAGCTTAGTTTCTGAGATCTGACACAATTGGACTGCTTCAGGTAGATTTGGTTGTCGAGAACGGACAAGCAGCAAACCCCATCCCGCCCAAAGTTAGGCGAGTAAGCCACCTCGCCCGGCAGGTGGAGAGATTCTTGGACCAACAGATGTAGCGGTTGTGGTTCACGACAGCATACTGCAACGTACCCACGTCAGTGTGTGCCCTGCGAGCTATTCACGGCGTATCCCTCCCCCCCGCCTCCGCTGTGCATGCAGTACGTGGTGATACCGACAAGACGCTCCACAGCCGAGTCCGTGCAGATCCTCATGTCCCACCTCCTCGGGGATGCCTTCTCCCCGTATCTCATCGGCAAGGTGTGGGAAACAGACACGAGACACCTTCCACTCGTACACCCCTCCCCCCGACCCTCCAGCACGCATGTTGGGGATGGACACTGCAGGTTGGTTCCCCACGTTTATTTAAATTGTGTTCTTCTTTCGTATGGATGACGTAGAGACAGAGCAACAACTACCATTTCACATTCGGGTGGACAAGCCAGATAACTGCGTCGGGAGCAGCGGGAGTGCATCGATGTGATGTCTTTGTATTTGTGGATCATCAGGCATTGCATCGTTATACGGTCTGTTCTGGACGACTACAGTCACGCACACTGGACAGTTTTAAATTTTCCATTTTTGTATCAGGTATCTGCCATGGATTGTGCAGTGGTTGCGGTTTAGGGTGGACCAGGAGCTTCGTGGAAGTTCAAACCCAGGAATTGATGCAATGTTATTCAAAGTTGCGCACTTAATTATTTTTGTTCCTATAAAGTCTAATGACAATGTAAGAATTTCAATTTACCAAGCAAAAATGTTGTGCTGTGTTGTGGATGCATTTAATTTGCGTATGTTAAAGACATCATATTGACTGTTGGGGAAAGAACGTGGGCTTGGGTCGGAGAGGTGTCTTAAGATGGGGTAATGGCCGGTAGTCAAGACTAATCATGGAGTGGCAACGCAAGGAAGGTTAACACCAAAAAGGCACATGAACCACCGAGACTGGAGGAATGACATCAGCTTCTGTGCAGAAGCCGGGTGGATCGTTGCGTCGCGAGACCATGAGAAAGCTACGGTGTGGGGAGGCCTTTCTACCAGCGGTGGTTACATCATAGCTAATGAAAAAAAATAGCTTCCGGGAAAACCATAACATTGTCAGCCATTTTAGATAATGGTGTAATGGTCAATACTTGAGGCTTTGCTGGTGCTACATGGAAATAGCCATCGTTTCTTGCATGCGTTTTTTACCAGATCTCGGACTCAATCAAGGGAGATCGAGACTCGTACCTGTGGCGGTTCTTGAGCCTGGAGTATGCGCTGCTCATCTGCGCCTTTGTGTGTACTTTCGGGGGCGCTTGCTTCCTCAAGACAGCCACCGTCATCGAGCAGGACCGGGAGCGAGCCGAGATGATCGTCAGCGGTGAGGATGCGCAAGCGGAGGGGGGACGTGCACACCTCCCCACATCCCCCTCCACGTGGGATTGAAAACGAATGTATTTTTTAGAACTGCTTTGTGTTTCGTTCGTTGGCAAACCCCCCCCCCCCCCCCCCCCGCACGTCTGTTTAGCACGGTTGGCTACGTACGGGTGCGATAAAAGTTGTAGACGCATACACGCGCATATGTACGCTCTCGCGTGCTCCCGCACAAGGGTGGATACACGGACAGTGGCGTAGCGAGCGAGTTGTTGTAGGCGGTAACAACTGCTCCCTGGGGCCCGCAGGCCGAAATGGGGTGGAGGGGAGGGGGGTGCGGGCTCAGGCGCCGGGCTACAAAAGGGGGAGATTAGAGGGAGAGCTCCCAGTTTGTCCCCCTGTACAAGGACCCCATGCCGATCGTGCTATGCCACCGAGATATGGCAAAATTTAAAGGGAAGCAATGCACACTTAAGAAACCTAAATTGTCAAACAAGGCACGTCTCAATGCATCTACATATCTAAAACACAAACAAATCTTGAATGCCAAATGAAACACTCATATGTACCAGATGTGCATTGCATGTAGATTAATTTATTTAAGTCGATTCATATGCTCGCGGTAACGTGCCTTGAATCATGCGTCTTAAGAATCTATTATTTAAGATGTATAATGCATATTGCTAATCTCATGTATAAATTATGCTCATGGCGTGAACAAAACAATGAAAAAAATCCAATATATACAAATAGCGTGATCAAGACAAAAAGAATGGATCCTTGCATGAAATAATCAACCCCAAAATCACTGAATGGCTGGGTAGTAGAATCATTACATGCCTGTATTGGACAACGAAAAATTATTCCCACCGTTCATTTCTGTGCACAGAAATGCGATCTTATTTAGCCGCTGCACACATCCAAATTGCACCGTGTTTATACCCTGCTCGTTGCTTCGTTTACACGTCTCACCGTGTAAAAGCGACACCTTGAGTGACGGAGCTGTTTCACGGCTACGAACGTGTTCCGATTTATTAGTTTTCAAATCACTCCCTCGCTCAAGACAAGTGCCAGCATGGAACCCATCCGACCATCGCACAAACAGCCACCACATGCCTGCGCAAACCCATTAAACCTTGCGCGTACACGCATGTGAGCGCGTGTAGAAAAGGTGCTGTTCTCCTGTAACGCGGTAGTTGCATTCTTTAAAAGAACACCGCGTTATCATATATAATATAGGGTAAAGCAGTCCACGACAAGACGTGAGATACGTATGCAGGCTGAACAAAGACCGAGGTGCGTGGGTAGCATCGGGAAACATCCAGCAGCATCCCGCCCTTGCGCGATGCTACGCTGAGGCAGCCGTACACGACTGTTTATATTCCGTGCGACGTAGTTCTCCGTTCACTCAAATTGCGTTGTAGCCAATTCGCATGCACATTGATCACACATTGAATTTGTTTATGAAAACGACACGCGTTACAGGAGAACAAACTGTACATACACTGAAACCGCACTTCTCTCCAATGCCCCCAATGCCTCCCCACCCCCAGGCACGGCCACTGAGGAGGATCTTTTGCTGCCGCATGACGGCCGACCCAGGAGTGTGTACGTCAACGACATCTTGAGCTAACGGACGACCGAACCGTGCGAGGGGGGAACACACAAGGTGGCCAACTATGGGCACCCAGGTGCCAGAGTTTGGGGGGGGGGGGGTGTTGGGCTCAAAACCAAGGCAATTTGTACAGAGACTGCATTCTTGTTGTTTGCGACGGTGTTACCGAGATGTTTTTTTTCCTCTTTTCCTCCGCTATCTCTTTGCATCATTATCGGTTGTACAACATTTCACACATGCAAGTGCAATTTGTAAATGTGTTTGTTTTTTTTTTACAAAGCACAACACTCCTTAAAAAGGGTGAGGTTCTTAGTAAGTAAATTGGATTTACGAAAGACTCCCTTAACTACTATTAAGGGGGTCACCGTTTGACGCATTTAATGTGAAGCTTGACATTACAGTGCGATGGCAGGTGAGAGTGGCTCTTAACAGCATTAAGTAGACCGCCGCGTACTTGATGCCCCATACTGCCAACCTGGAGCATTTTTTTGCTCAAGAAATTGCTTAATTCACTGCAATACTAAAATTGTTTGCAAATTTAAAAAAAAGTGGAATTTTAAATTACCGCATGAAATAATGGCCGGTCTACTTTACCGGGAGATTTCACGAGATTCATTTTCTTTGGCATCATGCCAATTACGACCTCTTCAACACTCACGCGTGCACTAAAGGTGCACACGTTCAAAAGATGTCAAGTTGACGTTAACCCCTGTGGCAAGCTGCTTTGCTCGCGAAAAAACGACCTTTGTAGGTGCAGGCACATCACGGCAACGGTTTATCGCTCTGGGGGGGGAAAAGGAAACAGTCTGCCATGCAGCCAGGAATAAAATCATCTCGTGGATAAGCAAGCATGTCAAACTGTACCATTGAGTACTTTTACAGGATTTTAAAAAGGGCCTGCAGATTTAACCGTGCACTCGTAGACAAACGGTTTTTAGTTAGCATGTCAAGTTTTCAACAATTTTTTCCCCCTTCCCACCCATTAAATGTTGCCTAAGTTGGCATTAAATCGCATTGGGCCAGGTGTAGCAACAACGGTACCGCAATGGATTTGCGCAGAGCTTTAATTATACGGTCTTTACCGTATAAGGTAAGATGCTGTAATCACCAGTTTTCTTGCCGGGTTCACCATACATTGGAGCTCCACTACATTTCAACGCATTTTGTGAATCCATTGCCAGTCCCTTGAAAGACAGGCACACACAGGCTACCCCGATTGCAATAATATTTGGCATTTGTAAGGATGTTGCCAAGTTTATTGACTTTAATATGTACAATGACTTGTTTTTTGATGTCAAAATGTTATTGGTTTTAATGTATCACTGTAAATAAACTTGCAAGAACCTGTCAAAGTGAGCAGTGTGTGCTGTGTGGTTTTTCTATTTTTTTTATATAATTTAACTGCCTCGTGGTAATGATCAACGTGACTTTGTTCCTTATTATAGCCAGGTGAGAACCCATTGTGGCCAAGAGTCATTTTGCAAAGGAACATCTCGGTTCAAACGAAAGTGTCGATTTATAACCCTTTCCCGTTTTGAAACATCTGCAAGTTGCAGGGTGGGGTCCCGTTCACTGCTGAATCTTGGAACACGCAAGTGGTTCGCGTTAATTTTATTTCGAGAGGCATTGCACCGCTGTTTTATAGACGTACTCACTGCAGAAAACTAACGACATGACAGCATTTGGCGCCAAACTGTGCCATACTCCCTCCCGCATGGCCTTGTGGGAGCCTCAGTACGTCTTCCGACCTGAAGATATGTACGTCACGTCACCGTACGTCACTGTACCAGAATCGGGAAGAAAAACTGATGATGTACAAGATGTTGTAATCAGTTTCCTTGCAGGGTTTATCATACATTGGCGCTTCACTTCCGATTATGTACACTTGCATAATCAAATGGGAAAGAGTTAATTGAGAATTTGTATACATTCACCTTGACATTGTGTTGCTGTAGCTTAGTGACAATTACATTTTAAATGTATTTATAATTTTGGTTTTATTTTAATAAATTATTTCTTATATTCCTGATTTCATTTTTAACATGTTACTCGTAAATAACCTGTTGCTCTGCAATGGAAAATGAGATGTCTTTTTCATAATCTCACAATTCTGTACTGAGCACTAAAAGTGATCTAGTTTTTACGTAATAAAATCGCAAGGTATTATGTAGAGGGTTTTTATATATTTTCAAGGATTTAAGGAAAATACTAGCAAAATAATTACATTCCTAGCATAAATTGCAAAGTTAGAACAATTTTTAATTAAGTGTCAGTCTTCTGTATTACTTACCCCGCCTTTTCGTGTGTTACGATCTACTATAATAACGTCTTCTGAACGTCTTGTGCCATTTAAATTAAATCTAATTCTTTTTTTACACGGAAAATCCCATTTAGCCAATTACCCAGAGAGTTTTGGTGGCAATGCCTCCTCGCGCCCACTAACAAAAAATTATTTTTGTGTGGATTTGATGAGCCCAGCAAGCAGCCAGCCAGGAAACTCGAGGCATAGATTATTTTAATAGTACTGTATATGTAACGCCACGTGAAAATAAAATATACATTAACATTTTAATCCATCAGCTGATGATGTGGACAGTACATCCAATACGCTTTACAAAAGGCGCAATATAACATGATGTATAAATACTTGCTTTTCTAGGTTACCCTTGCTTAACATAACTTATTTTGTTATCATGGTTGCTTAGCAAAGGCCGAAGAACACCAAGCGGGCTAGCAAACGACACACTAAGTTGTGATAGATCAAGGTTCACACGTTTCTTAAAAACCCCATCAATCTGGTCGAAATCAAGCTAACTGCAGTATTTAGTCGCACTACATTGGTAAGTGCTCCAACACCGATAACAAAAGTCTCCCAACACATTCATCAATAACACCGCCTTCATGTTTTCCCTTTTGAGTTAGCAGCTTTATAAATTTACAACGTACTTATATATCCAGGAACGCCACACCGAGTTGTAGGACTTCCTCATGAGGGTCCTGCATTGGGGTTTTTATTTTAAATAATGTCTTCAGTCAATGAATTAAGTATTTATGCGAACGGGAGCAGCAGGGAAAACCCTACGCATGCGAGGGGGAAACACTCTATCCCATACAGAGAATGTGATGGCGATCAGACCACTTGCAGTGACCACCTTGTGAGCCAGGGTACGGCCACCTCAACGCCCATGGGGTTGGGATTTCCACAACATTTTGTGTGCAATCCACAAATTCACTGCCTCCACAGTGCTGCATTTTAGACCACGTGCATAGCCACTACCCCCTGGCGTTGAGTTATTTGGTAGAAATCAAGGCATGTGCGGGCTGTAGAAGCAGAAAGTCCCTGGGGGTTTTATTCCAGACTCGGGCGCTTTTCTGTGGCATCCGTACGTTCACCCCCGCTTCTGCAAGGGCTTCCTCCGCGTTCTCTCCCGTTTCATTCCGTGGCCAAAAATAAACCACACAATGCAACTGGCATTGGCCAAACATTCCAATGTAAAATAATACCTACCTACTACCAATGACTCAATTGGGATGGCGCACAGCAATAATCGTGGGACGGACCTCCCTTGCCAGTATCAAAATCTAAGGATAGGTTTTAGGGGCCGTTCATAAATGACGTCACGCACCTGGGGGGGGGGGGGGGTCAGACATTTGTGACGATGTGTGACGAGGGGGGGGGGTGAGAAATGTGACGTCACATCAAAATGCGCAACTTTAAATATAGACAACACGTTCTACTTAATTAAATAGACTTTTTAACAGATGTTTTCTCCTACAACATCAGAGTGCAGCGCCACATTAAATACGCACTACAATGACAATAGTTTAAAGCGATTTGAAGCGTGTTTTATATTTTTGGGGGGGGGGTCTGATTTTTTGTGACGCTGTGTGACGAAGGGGGGGGTCAAAATCGTCCAAAATCGCGTGACGTCATTTATGGACGGCCCCATACCCTTTCTGGAAAAAAAAACGTTTCAGTTTAATGTTTGAACATTTTAACACAGTTTTATTGCAGAAAGGGGTGAACCCCCTTTCTTGCACAGCAATAACATCGCCCTCCCCTTCTGCAAAAACTTGGCGGGACCCCCCCCCCCCCTCCCCCCTCTTGAAGAACATAAAACAGTCCCGAATCTCAGCGAGGCTTTGCCAAATAACTAAACAGGTTTCACGACAATTGCGCATTGAGCAGTAAATTCTTACCCTGACGAACACCCCCCCCCCCCGCCCCCCCAAAGTGTATAAACCCTCACATCTGGAATTTCAGTACCGTGCTTGCTACGGGCAGTTAAATAGTCAAAGGAATCTCAAGTACCCCCGAACGCGGCAATCATGAAGTAGCACGAATACTATAATCATATGGTTGTCCCACCTGATGAAGATTGCTTGTGTTGAGATCGAAACGTCGTCATTTATTTTATTTTATTTCTACCCACGTGACTTTACCGAGAAGAACCAAAGAGTATGAATTCCTGCAGTCACGAAAGCTTCAAATCAAGATTGAATCATAGTACTGTAATTGTTTTGTCCTCTTGAATATACCTGCCCCTCCCCACCCGCCCGCCATAGGAACGTGGAAACTCCACCACTGGCTGGGTTTGGGGCTGTAAGCAGGAGCATGAACACCGCATCCAGGTGATACATTCGAGCAGGAAACCACGGTCTTGTTTTGGAATGATCAACTTTACAACCACAAGAAATAAACAGCACGGAGCAAAATATCCGATGGCGTCGATGGTCGTAACCACGTCGACGCCGAGTGGAAGTTTAACGCAACCTCCGACGAGCGCGGCTGGCTACGTACGGTGCGAAAGAAGTTCAACACACATACACACAACACGCGGGACGCGGGAAAATGCGTCCAACCACCGTCGAGACGGAGCGATTCAATCGGTTCCCTTAGCGCGCAGCTGCCCAGGTGGGATCGTTACATCGCGGGGCCGCGAGAGATGGTGACGGCTGGGGGAGAAGGGGCCGAGCGAGGCATCATCCAGCGGTGGATCGATCATGGCCGATACGGACCACGACAATCCCGCCGTCTCGCGATTCGCTGACCTCCTCGACCTCGCAGTGTGGAAATGTGGCTGCTGTTGGTTGCTGTCGACTCCGCCATCGCAAAGAAACTCTCAACCTCAACACACTTCCGTCATCTCGAACTCATCAGCTCCACAATTCACATCAACAACTCCACAATTCACATCAACAACTCCACAATTCACATCAACAACTCCACAATTCACATCAACAGCTCCACAATTCACATCAACAACTCCACAATTCACATCAACTCCACAATTCACATCAACAACTCCACAATTCACAACAACAACTCCACAATTCACATCAACAACTCCACAATTCACATCAACAACTCCACAATTCACATCAACAACTCCACAATTCACATCAACAACTCCACAATTCACATCAACAACTCCATAATTCACAACAACTCCACAATCCACATCAACAACTCCACAATTCACATCAACAACTCCACAATTCACATCAACAACTCCATAATTCACATCAACAACTCCACAATTCACATCATCGCCAAGCTTCCTCCTTTCTCGCCCACATTGCGATTTGTTTTATCGGTCCAATTAACTGGACACTGCTCGCTAACCGCTGCCGATGAATTATCTGTGATGTTGATGCCTTTATTATTACACGCTTTCTTTTAACTCACTCTGTTGTTGTCGTTGTTGTATCCTCAAATCTTGTAACTCAATTGTAACCCACTTCCCAATGTGATATCGACTGCAAACTTGGTGTACTTATGTCTGATGACAATACTAATTCTATAATAAAGAATCTATATTTTTAAACATTCGTTTTTTATATATTATGTTTCGGCTTGGCTCTAACTGGCAACGGCCCCTTACGTTATGGCAAGCTTCGGGGCCACTTCTTGGAGTCGTGGAGTTCTGCCATTACTAGTACGGTACATTTCATTAAAGCGTGTTTTTAAAAAGTTTTTTTTTTAATATTACTTTATAAGTTCACACATACACAGTGGCTCTAATGAGCACTTTCATGGGCAACTTCAAGCCAAAAAATTCACAACAAACAGAAACTGCGTGTTTGTTATCCGAGAAGGCGGTGGCAGTGGAGTTGAAGTGATGTGGATGGGGCTGAGGGTGAATAAAAAATGATGGTGGTGGGAATCAAGTTATTGGGTTAAGATGATGCGTGGGGTGGTGGTGATTATGAGGGTTATGATCAGGGGGGGGGGTGATGATGGTGGGGATGGTGATAACAGGGTTAATTATAATTGGGGTGAAGCGATGATTGGAGGCGGGGATGATGATGAGGGTTATGATGATGATGAGGGTTATGATGATGATGAGGGTTAT